CGAGGGCAAATGTATACAGAGCAACAATAAATTTTAATATGTTCTTGCTCCTTAGCTGAAAATACTTTTCAGTTATGCTTGGGAAATAATACTAGATCGTGGATCCATTAAATTTATTTACATTCGAACTTATTTGTCTGTTAATGTCCAGAAAAAGCTGCACAATAATCCAGAGTTACTTAAGAACATATCAAATTATTGCTGATTTAATACTACCTTGCTGTGATAGACAAACCAAATTATCTTCCTATTGACGCAACAATGACAATCTGAGAGTAGGCACATCTCCTTTAGCTGCTGTTTTGAATCTGTTTTCCTAGCTTGGATCGAAATAATCCTTTTTGTACTTTAAAAAAAAAATACTGAGCAAGAGAGGTTATGACTCTATTTCAAAGTGATATATAAATGGCTCACTTTCATATTTGAACAGATTTTACTACCTACTACTTTAAGAATGCAATGATTTTTGTAGACCTCTAAGAATTAAATCGTACCAGAAATTTTGAAATCACTCTTTAATTTATATTAAATATTATTATATTTAATATCACAGTTCTCTTTTATCTTTTCGATTATTTCACCTCAGCTATGACATTGTGCCTTATTAAAGACTTATGTTATTTGGTATTAATATTGGCAGTCAGGTTTTAATTACTTTTTTCTTTGTCCTACAATCTCATTTAATCTTCTTTTCTTCGTGTAAAAGAAAGGTTATGTCTCAAGCAAACAATTTTGATTTCAGAACGAAATTTTCTGCGGAACTGATTTTATTGTAAGAACTATTTCTTTTTTTCCTGTAAGATTTTTTATCTATTTACTTGTTTGACTATTGATTTTACTGTCTATTTAGTACTTCTTTTTATTTTTTAAAACATTGCTCTATCACTTAACTTTTCTGTCTCTCAGGGCAACAGTAGCCAACTTAAACTCGTAAAACAAAATTATATGAAAATCGAGCGTTGACATCTTAGTAAAGACTGAATTCTTTCTAAGCATCGGAATGCTACAGAGATAAAAAAACATTATCATTTGGAAGAGGATTAATAAGTGTTGACATTCATATCAATGAATAATTCAGTACATAGTTTTTTATATAAGAGGTATATTTTAAAGAAAACTCAAAATCCTTTTTAAATAATTTTAAAGCCAAATCATATTAAAATAAATCATCTTTTCAGTTGTTAATGTATATAATGATTAATTACATCACTCCTGTTGTTTTATTTTAAGTGTAAAAAAAAATATACTTTGTCATTCAAGAAGAGAGGCCCAGATGGCTCTTGTCTCGAATTTCTGATTTGCCAAAATACATGCAGAAATTGTATCGATTCTTAAGAAATATAAAAAGGTGAGTCACCCACAAAACTTTTTAGACCTATTTCTTTCATTAGTGTATCTGATAATATTAGGTCAGTTAGGCCTCTGTCACTGTTTAAAGGAACAGTTTAGTGTCATGTAAAAAAAAGGTCTGCTAGACATAATTTTTATTCTATATTGTTTTCGTCCTTAATATTACAAAAAAATATAGCTTACTTCCTATCTGAATAAATCTGGAGTTCCATCAATCACTCCTATGGGTCCAGTATTTCTAGATTATGACAGACGTTAAAAAAAAAAAATTCAGAACTGTATTGGATTGTTTCTCCTTACATACTTTTAAATATACTCCTTAAATACTACTCAAAACACCACCCCACTACAATCTACTGTTCCAGCCAATAGCCCATTACCTTCAAGGAAAACCTCCAAAATATATGGAGGAGGTTCAAAATGGAGTTGCAGAATTTCTCTATTCTTAACTGAATGAGTACTATTGTGAAGAAATCGAGCAGTCTCATGGTAACAATCCATAATAACACATAAAGTGACAAGAAAAGCAGTAATTGTTGACGATCACTTTAATTAAAATAAGTGGAAAACCGTCAAAATAAAATTATAAGGATCTTTCGAACTTTAAAACATCAAATTCTATTTAGGGTTTTTTTTAAGCTAAGAAAAATGTTTTCCTTTAAAAGCTGTTGTAAATGTGTGTTCTATAATAATTGATTTAAAAATTAGAGTTACGCCACCTATTAAAAAAAACTAATTTGTAAAAACAAAAAGTATGCATTTGTTTTTAGAATTTTCAAAACTACCCATTTTGAAAGCTTAATAGTTCGCTTCCTATTGGGTTTAGAAAAAAATGTTGAATAATTTCAAGCTGTAGCTAAGTCGCTTTGAAAAAGATATAATGGGTTGTTCCGAAAATAATGCAGGATTTCGAGTTTTCTTTAAAATATCTCTTTATATAACAAACTACTTATGTTTACTGGATTATTCATTTATATGAATGTCAACACTTATTAAGCCTCTTCCAAACGATAATGATTTTTTACCTCTGTAGCATTACGATGCTTAGAAAGATTTCAATCTTTACTAAGATGTCAACGGTTGCTTTTTCCTATAATTTTGTTTTACGAGTTTAAATTCGGCCGGAATGGGGCCCAGACGGTCAGAAACATCAATCAAGTCTTTGGCGAGAGCAGCGTTAATCAGTGCACTGTGGTTAAAAATATTTCGGGAGGAAGACGATGTTCTGCGGGCATTGATGGAAGGAAATCCCAGAACAACTGTTCGAAAACTTGCAAGGAAACCTAAACTTTGGAAGTCGACCGTCGATGACCACTTCAAGGCGATTGGAAAGGTAAAATAGCTTGAAAGTTGGATTCCACTCACATTTAACGACCGCAAAAAAACAACAACAATGTTATGAATATTTTATTTTGACATAACATACAGACAAACGGCTAAATATTTTTATTTAATTTTTTAATTCACCATTCTCCAGATTGCAAACGCCCCATTTCCGAGAGTTCTTATAAATTAAAAAGGTGTAGGCTACGATAAGATGAAGCAATTGTCAAAGTTTTAGCCGCATGTTAATAATTTCATAACATGAGCTGTGTATCGCGAGACTATGGTACCTGCTGGGTGAAATGAATTTCAAAACAGGTCCTATACACAGGAATATTGTCCGTGGTTAGTTTATTATTTATTGATTTTAGGCATGTTATAAAACTATAAGAAGCCAACCGTTTTCAAGAAGTAGAATATGCGTCTAGATCCAATAAATAAAAAAGAATTTTTAGTTAAAAAATAAATTTTATTTTACTTAATACTAGTTATAAAAAATTAGATCATGCTTTTCAAATGACAATTTTTGTTAGCACTATGTACAGTTACATTATACTGCACAAATACCTACCTATATTTAACTCTTTAATTTTTTTATTTATTGAGTAATATAACATTCTGTCACATGGACAATAATTTTACTGAGCTAAGACTACATTCACACTACCGTATATGCAAAAAATATAAAATAAAAAGTAACAAAATAACAACTAAATAATAATCAATTTTTTTTTACAATTAATAAAAATAAAATAACACAGACATACCTATATGCACTATGGTCTATAGTTAACAAAGATATTATTTCAAATAAAAACTTTTACTAAGTTCATTCACTATTAATATTGAAGATTTACTAAAACATATTAATCTTATGCAATTGTTGACACAATGTATGGATATGAACTAGTGATTAAATCGATAAAAACTAAAATTATTGTTGTTTCTGTTATGTTTGGAATGTTTTTCTCAAGTAACATTAATAATATACATATAAATCATTAAAAAATATCCTGAGAAAAAGTTTTCAGTTGGTATATCTATATAAATAAAATAAAGTTTTTTTTCTGTACAATGAATGAAATCAACGCGTTTCATGATTTCTTTCCGTTTCATACATTACAGACACCAAATCCACTTAAAAAATTGTTTGGCTGCATGTCCGTATTCTCCAACAAAATTTTGTCAAAGGTAAGCTCAGCAATGGCTCATGGTAAACTTTTGAAAATTTGACATTATATTTAGATTTACATGACTTAAAACATATGCTTTAAATGAGAACAAAATATGGAGTAGAACCAAAGTTATGAATTCTTGAGTAATTTGTCTAGAGATCCCGGTTAGCCAGTTACTTCGATTCTCACCCCAACCTACTCTACCGCGAGCTACATTTAAAAGTTGTACTATTCAACTTTAAACTGATGGAAGAATTATCATAACTCAACGGGAACCTTTGGATTTGAATAGATTTTGATAATTTATATTGACTTGAATTACTGATTTACTGTTTCGATATAATTCATTGAATCCGTATTTGGTTGGGTGATTATCACAAACTTGGAATTCGATCCGGCTTCGTATATTGAATTATTTGGATAATGATTTGGTACCAACATCCTTGGGTTTTGTTTTTATTTTTCTCTACAGTTTCCTTGGAATTTGATCCGGCTTCGTATTTTAATAATGAATTATTGGAATGAAATTTGGCACAAATTTCTTTGGATTTTATATCTTTCTTTCTACAGTTACTTGGTACTTGACCTGGCTTAGTTTTTTTTTTATTGAACCAAATTTTGTGGGTTTTCAAATATTTTCTGCAGACGAATTGTGTAGGATTTTTTAAATTTGGTTTTAAAATATTTTCTACGAATTAATAAAAATGCCTTAAAAAAATCCAATTTAATTCAATTTTAATTCATTTTAACTATACACCTGTCAACAATGAGTACATCAGCTAGTTAACCAATAATATCTCAGATCTAAATTGGTAATGACCGAAGAATTCGGATCATGACGATTTTTAACTTTATAAATTAATTCTCACAGCTCTAATTTAAATGAGTAGATTGCAGGTTAAAATTTACAATGAAGTACAGGATTGTCAGGCACGAAGAATAAAATCACATAACTCTTCCTTAGCATTACTAACAAAATAAATTACGGGTGTTTCATCCACGATCTTTTGAGCCTCCTTATGATGGGCAGGCGTACTTTCTTGTACATTCTTGCATTGTATAACCAATAATTGGGTTATATCCGTGAAGGATCATGAAGATCATTCAATAAAAAAAAGGAACTTTTTATCATATTACTGTTCTGAGACTTCATCATTCAACTTGTGTTTTTTCAATTTCGCTTTCATTCCATGGCTGTGTTTTTGTGGTTCCCCAAAACAGAAAACATGTGTTGCCCAGAATTAAAATGGTCGCTGCCAGCAGGAACACTGTTCTCCATTCGTTAACATCGCTCTGTAAGAAAAAAACTATGTTATTGTAAACAATAGAAATGTTATAGTGTATTCCAGTTATTGTAATATGAGATCGAAAGGTGTTAACATATAAGAAGATTTAAATTATTTTATTATTAGCTGACTTGCGGAGATTCCAAATTGCCACTCGGAACTGTTAAGAACTGGAACGGTTAAGAGAACCTAATACGCTCATGGTACTGGAGAAGTTGGAACTAAAATGGTACTTCACCGTTCTCCGTAATATCCATATTTAGGCGTGCTCACTTCTCCCATTAGTCATGAACTCACCTCCCTCCAAACTTACCGGAATTTGGTATGTAGGATCGTCTTGGAATTAACTCATTTTACGTGAATTAACTCGCCTTGTACATGTAATTAACTACGTCTCCGTTCAAAATCGGCCAATACGTCAGATGAAAGATTTTGTATAGAATCTTTCCCAAATATTGGCCATTAAGAAGTGAGACACCATGTATATATATGTTTTTGTCTGTTGACGTTACAGACCATGTAGATCTTTTGCCGCTTTAAGAAGCCTGCTCCATCTCTGCCTGTCTTGGACTATTTCTTTCCATTTATCTGCCCGCAGCTCTATTGCATCCTTGTTGATTCTATCCACCCATCTACGTTTTGGCCTTTTGCCTTCTATTAAGGCATTCATTGTTACGTAGAGGCTTCCAGATGGATTGCTATGAGCTACATGCCCCGCCCATCTTAACCTCCATGCCTTCATATCGTGGGATATTGATTGAGCAGTTTCTGTAAGCAGTTCTTTATTGGTCTTTCTTCTCCATGTGTTAGTATTCCGGTTATCGTGCGGAGGATTTTTCTCTCAAATCTTTCAACACTTTTTTCTAGGGTGCTGGTTAGTGTCCAGATCTCACATTCATATATTAGAACTGACTTTATTAAAGCATTGTAGATCTCTAATTTGAGATTTCTTGAGATGTTTTTGGATTTTAATACCTTTGAATTGGAAGTTCTGTTTATTTCTGCTCGTTGGTCATTTATTGGGGTTATTGTGGAGCCGAGGTAGTTGAATTCTTCTGCCCTTAGAAAAAGATGAGAACACTGGAATAGCAAAAGGGCTTTATTGGATTAGAGAAAGATGTAATGTACAATGTTGAATATTTAATCGATCGATTTCGTAAGGAAACCGTGAAGGAATTTGATGTTACGGCGCAGTGTTGCTCTGCGTGTGAATAATGTGTTTTATACGCCAATACGGTATTTTACAGCAGAGGTCTACAAACCTTTTGGCTCTTGGGCCACATTGAGAGCTTCAGTAATTCCCGCGGGCCGCATTGAGACCTCCACAAAGTTCGGCGGGCAATGCCTTATGATGAAAAAAAAAATCTTGTTCTATAAATGACACTTTAGTTGTGAAATGATGTCTTTCAATAAATGTTGTAGTAACATCCTGTTTCAGTAATTTGCTAAAGTTCGTCTTTTTAAATAGTTTTAAAATTTTACCATGTAACAAAAGAAACATTCGTGGGCCGGATTGTAGGTGCTTGCGGTAGTTTAGAGACCTATGTTTTAAAGTATAAAAATACAATACAAAAAATAAAAATACATGTGTCATTCCTAAATACTTCTTAATTAAGATACGAACTATCTTACTCTTTATACCATAATATATAGTCGGTACATAAATATCTTATTGGAATATTTATGTACCTATTAATGCTATGATACTTACAATATCCTTAATCAAGTAAGTTGAAATTAGAGGTCCAAATATAGATGCGAAATTGGCCACTGAGTTGGTGAAAGAGTATAAAATTCCGGCGAAATTCGGAGAAAGATCTATGTGATTTGACTGAAAACCTAAGTTGCAAGCTATTGTAATTCCACTTCCTGCTGTGATGAGGGCAACAGCGATGGTTGTGTCTTGGACATATGCCAGTACAATTAGGGCGCACGCACTACCGTACATGCCTAAAAAAGAAATGAAATTGTACATCAAATGTGAAAAACAGCTTTTTCAGAGCTATTCTAAGAAATTATTGTATTATTATAATTTGTTTTGTACTATTGATGATTGAAATATATTAAATTGATTAATGAATATATAACCGTAGTTATTGTTTTTTTATTGCACATGAATTAATAAGGTGTATATATAAAAAAAAGAAAGACCGTTTTTCAATCAAATATTTGTATTATTATTTCATTGACATAAAATACAATTAATACTCATAGTATTGTCCATTGTAATATACCGCATTAGCCATATCTGCTATCCAATTGCTCGATCCCACGCTAATATCATTCTTGGGGATGGCTGTCAAAGAACTCTTGGACTGTAATTTCACCTTCTGCAAAATTATAAATTTTTTTCCCTTGGCGAAGAATCTAAATAAGCAGTTATACTATGGTGCGAGGTCTGGACTATATGGTGGATGAGGCAGGAGTTCGAATTCATGAAGTTCTTTAAACATTGGTTCGACGGGAGGTGTGAGGACGAGCATCTTTTTGGAATAAAATTCCTTTTCGGTTGATCAAAGCAGGATAACGCTCCGACAACTTTTTGTACAATCCAGTTGTTCGCAGTAGATTTCAGAGCATCCATCAAGAACAAATTCATGATGAATAACACCTTTAAATTAAAAAAAAAAAACGCAAAGCATGGATTTTTTTTTCAAATTGCTCCTTTGCGGCAACCGGAAAAGCAGTTTGACCACTATCTAGCCATTGCTCACAGGTATTAGGATTTCGCCAGTAAACCCGCTTGTCATCACAGGTGACAATCTTCTGGCAAAATGTAATATCAGAAGGGCTTTTCAATAAATGTTCACAAATTTCCAACCTCTTAGCTGATTGCTGAGGAATAAGTTCCCGACGACAATTCCTCCTTGGTGTTTTCCTTTTCCAAATCCTCAGAACTAAAAACCCTCCCTACATCCTGGAACTCCTTACTCTACGCTCCTCTATCCACTCTCTTAATACAGATCTCAACCTATAGATTTATATATCTCCTCCCATAAAACAACTTATTTCAGCAAATCCTTCCTCATTTGGAATTCTCTTCCTACCTCCATACGTCAATCCTCGTCTACAAATTCCTTCAAACAACTCCTGTTCCACTACTTACTCCACATTCAAACTTCCGTTAACATGTAAAATTACTTATATCTGTATACTATTCAATTTCAATCCACAGCACAATTGCAATAACAATACGCAGTTAATTAGTTTGTATTTTTTTATTATTTTAAGCCAGACTAATTCTTATAAATTTGTAACTGTTATTATTCATAGGGGAATGTAGTTATTATTTAGTGAGGGACCAGTCTACTGCTCTTTTTCACCTTTCCCATTGAGAGTAGATGGCTACTAACAGTATCTTTCGACACACTACACTTCCTGGCAAGTTTGAGAGCACTTTTGGACGGATTTGACTCAACAGTTTCTTGCAGAACCTCATCATTATTCATTAGTGGTCGCCCTGAGCCCTTCTTCCTTTCCAATGTCGTCTCCACTGCTAAATTTTTAATTCTATTAAACCAACGCTGCGGAATGTGCTGATCAAGGACACCTTCTCTTTCATATTTAATAATTTCACGAGTTCCTTCAGCGGCTGGGATTTTTTTTTTTTTCCAATAATGCCTTAAATTACGATAATTCCGTAAGACACAGTCATGTTTCTTCTTTGAAAAAAATAACTATACAGAGGCTTTTTTTGAAAAAGTCGAATGAGATTAAACAAGCTTAGAGAATGCTCTAAAGGGACTATTAAGTATTGGCAATTATTAAATATGATTAAAATATTTACAGTCCTTTGAATTCTTGAATTTGATAAAACGGTCATTTTTTTTTTATAGACCCTATTAAAAAAGAAAAAGTTTCTCATGTCTGTAATGACATTAGCATCCACAATTCCATCAAATCTGCTGAGTTTCACTCCTATGAAAGGTGCAGACGAAGGTATGAAGAGAAAAAAAAGTTTTTATGCAGATCTAAGGGATCGTAGATCGTAGGTCCACCTTGGATGTTGTACGGATAAGGTATAGGATAAGACCGCTCAGCAAATTGGTAAGTCCACACTATTTTAAGGAGGGATTCTAGTTCAGAATGGAAAAATAAAAAGTAAATTTCACATTCATTAGCTTATCAGGAACAAAGAAGTCTTGGCAAATACCAGGAAAAAAAAAATATATATATATATATATACAGTGAGAGAAAAGGAATTAAAGCAAGGGATAACTTCCCTCTTGCCGTATTTATTTATTTTTTTGCCCGGTCTTTGCCAACACCTCTCTGTTCCTGATAAGCTAATGATTGTGAAATTTACATTTCATTTTTCCATTCTGAACTTGAATCCCTCCTTAAAATAGTGTGGACTTTCCAACTTGCTGGGCGGTCTTATCCTATACCTTATCCTTACAACATCCAAAGTGGATACAATAAATAAATTTGTCATTATTTTAAGCCTAAAAAGTACATACCTAGACTGTTCCACATAAATTTTGCATATATAGGTGGTATGAGGTTTTTGATTTTCATAGATACCATTGTAAAGAAAATACTGAGCAGCAAACTTGTCAATGGTGGAAGAGCCGACAAGAAACCATCCTGAAAATTACATATTTCATTGAATATTGTTTACTATTGTCACCTATAATAGTATTTTAATAATATGACAAACATATCTCAAATATATGTTATGTCCTCCTTCGAATGCTTTAATTTATTACAAATATGTTATTATTTTATAGGCTATTTGATTTTGTCATCAATAAAACTTAATTTGAACTATTATGTATGTGAACAGATCTTTAATATTGTACTTACACTTTGTACATCGAAACGTAAGACACCATTCATGTATGTGGGCGTAAGAGTATTTATAGTCCAGTAACCCCAGGAATTACACCAATGTGTTATTGTGAGTATTAATACTGGCACTGAGGTAATAATTTTTTTCCAAGGAACTGGCAACTTTCTCATTGTCTAAAAAAAAAAATCATTGGATGTTAGAAAATAATTTAAATAATATATTGATATAGTGATAAATAATATAATAAAATAAATATTATCTGTCTTAAATATTATATTATATATGATGCAATAGTATTTCGTAGCGTAGATCTCTTTGTTGCCTCTCAAGAGTGATGGATTTTGATAAATGAGGTATCAGACAAAAAAGAATTTCGTGGAGAAGTGACAAATTATAGTCACGTCTCTCCGAAATTTCAATAAAAAAGTTATGAAGGAAAAGAAACTTCATTTGCGAATAACTCAAAAAGTATGTATTTTTTTGTTGATTGCACCCATGATTATTTCAAAGATTACTTACTAAATTCCCTACAAAACAATTATTCAGCTGGAAAGGTTCAAGAAATGTACGTAGTATATTTAAACGCTTTGTTAAGGAAACACGGAAAACTTTCCATTCGAATTTAAATTTAAATTAAATGAAGAGTAAAACAACTCAGCTTCGATCTCGATCAATATTGACGCCATATCTAAGATGTTAGGCAGATGCCGGTTTTACTGAAGCTGAAGTAGATGCTCACACGTTTTAAACTCAATAGGTTGGCCATTAAAAAAATTGAGAAATCTTCTGATTTCATAAACATGGAGTAAAAAACTTGAACATGAAGACTGAACAAAAGAAGAAAGGAAAATCGCAAGTATCCCAACCAACCCAAGTTTAAACATTGTATAAATTCCAGAATTACCTAAAATAAAGCAATCAATTTTATATTACCACTGATTTAATCCACTAGCTCCTTTAATTTTACAGGACTTGCAATAAATTCTGTATCAGCTATTAAAGTATAATTATTCTGACAATACCCCTGACAGCATTATTAATTTCACTATAATTATGTTGAATTCTTAAACATAATATTATCCTTGGGAAAACCCAGACTGCCTCTATTTTAGCTGACGTACTCAACACTCATTTTGTCTCCTGTTCCTCCTATCTCTCTTTCCAGGCACCAGTTCCAATCCCTTGTTCAATCCCAATCATTTTTTCTTTTCTCATATTACCTCTGTCGACCTTGAATCTATTCGTAAATCCCAAACTAATGATTTGGGGCCTGATAATATCCCAGTTAAATTAACTAAATCCTCACTTCCATCCATTTTACATTTCTTTAGCACATCTATAACTTTTCACTACATAGTTTCACTTTTCCCCAGCACCTGGAAAACTGCTCTTGTTCGTCCAAACCTCTTATCTAACCTTTCCAAACCTTTAGAACGAATAGTACAATTATCTCACTATCTCGAACAAAATAACCTTTTGAACTGCTTCTAGTCCAGTTTTAGACCTGACCACACTACTCATTCTGCCCTCATTAAAATCTCCCAAGATCTCCACACAGCCATAGACCAACAGAAACTCACCATCCTGATCCTTCTTGATTTCTCTAAAGCATTCAGCATTTCTTCTAAAGACTCAGTTGACCATAATATCCTTCTTGTGTCCTTAAGTGGTTCTAATCATTTCCAATATGTTTAGTCCCTAATAACACTTCATCAGTGTCTACCCACACTGGGTACCCTTGCCCAGAGGCGTTCATCTTTATCATTCACCCTCTTTTCTATATATATCATTGACCTCTCTTCCTCTATCATGCGCTGTCCATACCACCTATATGACGACGACGTCCAAATTTACCTTTCCTTCAATCTGGCTGATTCCTCTAATGCCATCCTGAAACTGCAGCAAGACATCAATAGAATATGCGCATGGGCAAAGCTTAATTAATAAGCTCACATTAAATGCGGTGAATACAAAAGGCTGATAGGATCCACCTCACTCCTCAAATCCAGTTCTGTACCTCCTAATCTTCTCCTGAACAACTCATTTATCTCCTTCCATACTACCGTTAAAAACCTTGGCGTTACCCTCGATCAAGCCCTCTCCTGGAAACCACACTTCTCCCAAATTTCCCGCCGTATTATATCCACCCTGAAACAGTTTAACCATCTACGTTATCTTCTTCCATTCCATTCAAAACCGTCAACTCCTGGTTTCTTCTCTTGTTTTCCATCTATTTGGCTATGGCTGTATGGTGTATGGTGGACTCTCGGGAGAACTCGAAGCTAAACTTAAACGTCTAATGAATTGCTCAATAAGCTTTATCTTCGGGATCTTAAGAGGTACGTATATTACCCAGTTTTACACCGAGTTGAAGTAGCTCCTATGTTCTACAGATCCTACAATTCTAATACTCCTTTCAATGATGTCCCACCAGATCTCGTACGTCCGACCTCTATCCTCCTCCTCACCGAACTCTGTATTTGACCAATCCTTTTTAATTCAAGCTGTCTCCCTCTGGAATTCTATCCACTCTGATATTCGACACGCAAAGTTAGTATCCTCATTCAAATCTCTCCTCTTCAAACACCTACTCTATTCCCAATCCGGTTGATGCTATGAAATGCACATAAAAATCTTAGTTGTATTACTCTCAAAGTACCCACAGATACTTTGTGAATTTTTGATATTTTGTTTATTTATTTTACTTTTCTTTGTTTATTTTATATTTATGTACGTTTTAATATCTCTTCATTATCTGTAATTTTATTTTATTACGAATCATTCTGTAAATATTTAATTGTATTTTATGGACACAACAGAATGTTAATTTATATTCTGTATTAATAACTTGTTCTGAAGAGACACTAGCCCCAGAATAATAAAATTATTTTCATTCATAATATAAACTCAGGACTTTTTTGTTTTGTTATTTGGCTCGTGATACTTCCCCACTAATTAGAATCGAAAGTCTACGCCTGTGTTCTCACTGTCGTATGCTAGTATATCGATTAATTAAATATAAATAACCGTATTAAAATAAATTACATATACGTATTATAAATATGAAACATGAAATACTAAAAATTTATTTTAAAATAGAACAAACTGTTTTGTTTTCAACTTTCTTTTTATTGAAAAGATGTTTTTAGCACATTACCTCAATGCTGTTATCTCCTGAACTATTTCTCAAGAATTCTTGTTCTTCCTTAGACATTCCTTTATGGTCGCTCGGACAGCATTTTCCGGCATAAAGTAATAGTCCTCCAACCGCAATTCCAAGTATTCCTTTAACATGAACATCAACAATGCTAATAGATTACATTAAATCCTTAGATGAACAAATGATGACAATGAACAGTAATGTTAAGAAACAAATGAACAGTAATGTTAAGCAATGTTCATTAGATGTTTTAAATTCCACTCATTTAAATATTTTCATCAGATACATTATGAAATAAAAATTTATTTTAGTCTCTTCTGAAGATCATATTAGGCACATATTTTGAAAAATTAAAATCAAATAACCAAGAGCCATATTAAAAGATAATGATAATAACGTGAACGTACATCATCTCTGAACAAATCGATGGCTATAAGCCTGTGCGGCGCCCCCGACCGACGCCTCTGCAGGTCGCCATTGCATGCCATTTTAAAATAGTTATTTTCTTAAATTTTATTTTGAAACGTCTTAAATTTTATTCTGAGCTTTTATAGATTATTTAATTGAATAATGAAAAAAAGTAGTATGTTTTTACGTTTTCATTAACAGAAAATATAATCATAAGTATATGTACATATACTGATATAATTTTTACATATACTGATATATAATAATTTTTCTATGCACTTAACATACATGCAAATATTTACAAGGTATATATCACGTTAATATAAAAACAGTAAAGCTTTTACTTTTCTAATAAAACAATTCTGATTAACAAATAAAACTTTGCGTTGTATAATGTTCTACAAAGTTAACATTGAAATATTTTCTAGGATCAAGTGAAGTGTAATAATTACCAAGTTCCATTATAATTTGTAATTTTTTGTACTTTAGAGGGAATAAGCAATTTAAACAAATTATTTTATATCACATTCATATAAGTATGTATTTCAAAATTTAAGCTATAATTTTATTTAACAGTTTTGAAAAAACTTTTACCTCTTATTGATATAAGTTTTTTTTCAAAGCCAAAGTCATTAGTAAATATAACTGTTTGAACACCTGCTTTTTTTTTGTAATGTATGTTTTAGCCATCGATGTAAACATGCTTCAATTATACATTTAAAAAGATATCTCTTATAAGTTAGTTTTTAATCGAAATTCAAAACCATAAAATATAGTTAAATATAATCTGCGCTGAAGAAAAAAAAATAATAAAAATTAAAATTGCAGAAATAAATAATAAAGTTATATAAAATCAATACATAAACAATAAATAAATAAAAAGAAATAATAGAAAAAATTATTCCGATTTTTTTTATGAAATTATTTTATTTTTCAATCACATTTTATAAGTTTTCTGTTTTCTTCTTTTTTTTTTCATTTGAAGTTTATTAAAATTAATTATATTAAAAAAATAATTAATAACGCTCGTTGTTTGATAACAGGAGCTGTAGCATTATAGTGAAGAAATCATGCAAGGTCTTGTAGCAAACATTATTTGTTAAATAAATTTAGTGTGGCACGCACATCACACATCTTTCACTTACCACCTAAATGTGAGTGGAAATAGGAATTTCTGCAATATATAAAGTAAAAATTTAAGATCGCGCAACATATTTATTAAAATCCTTATTTTTCGTTAGGCCTTCATTACTACTGTTAAAGTATTACTGGGTTTTTGCAACAAAAACATTAACTTTTTTTTCATCAAGATATATACCTGTAATAATGAAGTATTCTCATTTAACTTTTATTTTTTTCATCTAATAGAATACATTCACCGTAGACGCAATAATTAAACTAGTGATGATTCATAAAAATGAAGTTAAAACTTAAAATAATTTCTCATCAACTTAAAATCGTATAAATAATTTTTGAATTCACCTTTTAATGGTACAGCATATCCATTCTGAATGTTTTTTTAGGTGAATAAATAATCATTCAGTCAATTTTTTTACAAATTTAATTCCTAATTTTCAAGTATCATACACTAATTCAGAATTAATTTAGTTTTTAATTAATCAAAAAACGGTTCTAAATCCACTTCAGTTAACAAAAAAATTATCTTCAAACAGTTCCTAAACTCTTTCGAGTGTTCGAAAAAAATAGAAGAAATTATAATTTCGATATAATTAATTTTAATAATTATTCGAATTCTAAGTAATGGTTTGGTTTTTTCAGCATGAAACCTCTGAGTTCGGTTTTATTAGTAATGCACATGCAAAAATGAAAATATCAAACCATAAAAAAATACAATCATGTTCATTTTAAAAAATATTGTGTAGAGTATCATACTATGACTAAAATTCAAGCAGGGAATTTTAGTATTTTCTTACCTGAACTATAAAATATTGAAGGCCACCCAAATCTCTCGGCCAAGACGCCAGAACCAACCATCGCCACGAAAGTTCCGCACGCAATTCCTTAATTATAATATAAAATCGTTAAATTCGAATATATGTCAAATATAAAACTAATAATAATAAGAGTAAATAAAAAATTAACACATAATAAGAGTAAATGATATAGTACTAAAAATCCGTAAAATAGTTTACATACCGTTAAACACTAAGGGAGCCAGTACGGCTTTCTCTTGAGGAACCACCCACATTGATAATAAATTATTTATATTAGGATAGACTCCACCCTGGAAATATATATATACAATATGTTACTTAAAAATGATTTGTGAGTTGTATGTAGTTTAATCATCTTTAATAACTTACCTGTATAATACCCATCAGTACCCTAACAACAATGATACCAACAGCCCCAAAGTGAATAGCGGCCAAGGGAGTAGCCAGGGACAGTGCGGCAGATGTCAAGATGCAGCAAGATAATACTCTCACAGAATTAGTTTTCCTGCCCAAATTTCCCAAGATAGTTTGGAGTAATCCATATCCCCAAAAAAGACTGCTCAAGACAAGAGCTTTCTCAGCTGGACCCAGAGGAACCGTCTGTGGACAATATTTAACGATGCTATTAGTTAACAGAGATTACATTCAATTAAATAAAGAATTGTAAATATTTTTGTTTGTTTTTTTATGCCAAGCTTATTTATCTCTCTGAAGCTAGTCCGCCTTGTTAGAATGGTCATGAAGTTAACTCAGTGCTAAGTGAGATTGTACGAAGATACATCTGAGTTTTTCTAAAGCCACGAGGGAGTCAGACAAGATGATTGTTTAGCACACCTGCTTTTTAATGTTGCGTTGGACTGTGCACTAAGAGAGTCGGGAATCCAAATAGGAGGAACGGCTTCGAAAAAATCATGTCAAATTCATGTATGCCGACGATTTGGCTGTCGAAAGAGGCAATTTCTACAATTATAAAGAGGCGATTATAGAGAGCGCCTACCTAAATCTGCAAAAGCAGTCGCTAAATTTGGATTGCAGGGAAAATAAGTCCAAAACAAACTATATACTCAGAAATCCTAAAAGAGGAGAACATCTATGAGGGAAAGTTAAGATTGGGGACTTCAACTTCGAATGTTTCTAGGAATTTATTTACCTTGGGACGCTTTGAAGTCAACTGATAACATGCAACCAGAGATTCAGCGTCAGGTTATGGCTGCTAATAGATGCTATTATGGGCTACAGAGACATCTAAAAAGCAAATCTCTCTGTAGGACCACCATGATACGTATCTATAAGACCCTGATCAGGCCCGTCTTCAGCCATTCATCTGAGTGCTGGACGAAGAGGAAAGCTCTATAATCAGCTCTATTGAGAACATAAAGAAAGATTTTGAGTAGGATTATAGGACCTACGTTTATGAACGGTATATGGAGATCGAGAAAAAACATATACATAGTTGTTACGACGTTTCAAACAATTGCGAACAATTGGTTCATATCGTCAATCGTCAGAAATCGCCCGTTTGAACTTCTAAAAACAGTTTTCATAGTTTGCCTCAAACGGCCACCCCAGAAGTTGTTGATGATTTAACCCGCGGCAACGTTGAATATTTAGTGATTTTTATTATTTTTTATTTATTTCATTTTTTTCCCTAGAGTATTCGAGTTACTATCGTCCCAATTTTTAATTAAACAATATTTAAGAGAAGAATGGTTGGAGTGACCTGTAAAAAAAATACTTTTTTTATCGACGTTTCGGCCCTAAGATCAGGCCTTCTTCAGGGCTGGTCAAACGAGAGGTTTCCGCAAGACCAATATTTAATTCTGTATACTGTCCGAATTATAAATATATCACGAGTTTAATAGCAAAGCTTTAAGAAATAAATAAAAACAAAATCTTTTTTATTATTACATACATGTAATGTTATATATTTATATTTTATTATAATATGGTAATGAATATAAATATATAACTACCTACCTATCAAATAGGTAATAAATTATACAATATCTGAATCAATGTAACGTTTACAATACAAACTACAAGATATGGATTTTAAACTAGCTATGTTTATCAACTGCAAATATTTTTGCAATGTTTATTTTATATGAAATAAAATAACACTTCGGCAAGCTAAAGATTTTCATTAAAAAAAAAAGTTATAATTATTGCGAAACCATTTGTTATCCATTGATCATACCTGGTTTGATAAATAATTATAATGTTCGATGACATTATACTTTTAAAATTTATACACCAAAGAGAATTAATTGGCAATCCATATAAATGTAAGGACTAATACACCAATCTAATTGAAATTGAAATATAAGAAGCATCGGCTGAAATTAACTCCAGTCTCTGGTGAAGTATGCATTTAAATAAATAACATTTTATGTAAGGAAGATCACTACATCATGTCGATGACGATAATATAATGGAATGTAAATCGACATTTTTCCATTAAATCGACTATTACAATTTTGAATGTCCTTTACATTTCTGAAATGTGTTTTTATATAGAAGTCAATTTCTGGCAAGGCACGTCGACTTTAAGAAATACATAGTTAGTCACCTATAATATCACCTGTCACGCAATGATATTTACGAAAGCCAGATTAAATGATTAAGAGTGAATTAAGAAAAAATGGACCTTAAACTGTTGTAATGTTTAAACTATTACTTGTTGTTAAAACTCTTCTGGACATTGATTGATGGAGTCATTAAAGATTGCATAAGCGTGATTAATAATTTATAAAGGTGAATTTTTTCGGGTGTTACAAAGGTAAACACTGTCCATGGACACACGTAGACTCAATGTGTTTTTAAAAATTTCAAAATATATTAATCAAAAACAACTAAGTATATGTAAATCTTTAATAGGATTAAATAAAATGAGGAGTGACAATGAGGACTAATTATTAAGCTAAGTCACCAATTTTCAGCTCTTAATTACTCAAATCATTATCACACCATCCATCTGTTTTGATTAAATAATTGACCCAATTATTCAAATAATTTGTTTCTAAACTCATTCTGAAACCTTCCTTCACCGTTATGCGATGAGCACAAACGCCTAAAAGGGTATACGATGCAAAAAATTAAGAACATAAAACATCTCATTTAAGTTTCAAGAAACAAATAAAATTATATTATTAATAAAAACATACTTTTGATTAAAACAGTCCTACTTTGTTTGTTCTTTTACGCTAACCTCTCAGCCCTTATTTTGAAGGGAAGAAACCTATATTTCTAGAAAACTCTAATTAAATTATTTGATTAATTAAATGATGTTGACAGGGCCAATTCACTCCACAATGATTTTAATTATTAAAATCAATAGATTTCTTAATAGATTCTTCCCTTGAAAATGTCCTAAGGGCTAAACGGTTGGTGTAAAAGAACGAATAAATTAGGGCTATTGTGACCAAATGTGTTGGTATTATTACTATTAGGTGAAGTACTAACCTACAACTTTGAATATATATATTTAATTATATTATTGTTTTTGCTTAATTTTTTAATGGCACAGGTGATTAATTTTTTTTTTTTTTAACATAAACACTTTATTCAGAAATATTACAATTTGTCACAGTTTAAGGACACTTATAATAGAGTTCAGAGAGTGCATTCATACCGTATATATAAAAATATAAATAAATAAAGTAATAACAAAAGAATAAGAAACAAGAACAAAAGATTAAAGAAAAAAAAAATATATATGCACATAAGTAAATAAAAATAGAAATAAAAGTAAAACAAACATCTTATATAAAACATACCTATATAAATTAGGGTGATCAATAGCGGATCCAGGATTTAATTTTGGGAGTGGGCTTCAGCCCGAAAGCTTTTTTTTCATAAAAATAACGATAATTACTTTGGAAAAAAAGAAAGAAACTAACTACCTGTATGAAATTGTGTTTAAGTGATTCCTAAAGCCCTTTTATTATTAATCTCACGAACAATTATACTTTAAGAGATACTTTTTAAATATTTTTTTCGATAAAACATGGTTATATTTTACCATTTTGGGGGAGGCTTCAGCCCGAAAGCCCCCCCGTAGATCCGCCCGTGAGGGTGATTAATTATGTGTCTTTTTACCTTTATTATTTTTTCTTCAATTATAATGAGTTGGTTAATGTTCAAGATGAATTTTCGTTTTTAATTACTTTATAAAGCAAAACACCCCAAACAATAATGCTTAAGTCCATGATTTTATAACCAATTGTCTATGCAGTTCTATGGTATCATTATAAAAAAACTGTTTTTAAATAACAATTTGAAAGTAAAAAATGGATTATAATCGGAATTCTGTTTTATATTTTTAGGTAAAAATGTAATTATTTAACTCTAGCAAAAAATCAAGTTATAAATTTAGAGCATCCAAACTTTATATACTTGTTGTTATTATAAATAATGATCTACTGATTGCTATTAAAAAACAATTCTCGCTCGAATAATGTACAACTGAACTAGAGAAAATATTTGTGTTAAATTAAAACTTTGCGAAGAAAAACCTAATTTTTATGTATTGCCTAAAATCGGTTTTGATCTAGTTCTTTTATTTTTGTAGGACCAAGACTATGACCACCTAATCGTCGCAAGACCGAGACCAAGTCTATAACTCCCTAATTGAAGCAAGACCAAAACCATGACTGACGCTGCAAGATTTGAGCAAGAACAAGACCTGACATGCGAGTCTCATGCGTCACGCAGTTAAGTCTACCTGAAACTTGGGCGTTAATGAGTATTTGGTATCAATATATATATATATATATATATATATATATATATATATATATACTGATAGGCGTTCCTTATTATCGGTATCGAAGCCACGATTCCTTAAATCTAACAACAAATTTGGTCCTTATATTACTAAAAGCTATTTAATTGGTTTTTATATTTAGAACCAACAGGTGTTTGAACAAGTGCTTCAAAATTTTACTATTGCATTAAATCTAAACAGCATTTCATTCCTTTTTGAATCGAATATACAGCTTAGCTCTTCAAATAATAAAATATTAAACTCATTTTCCAGAACAAGAGGAAGATAAAGAAAACACGCAAAAAATTGTTTTGTGAATTAAAATTTAGGTAAAATAGTCAAGAGGACAAATTCAAAGTATGGTCAAGTTAGTTTTATTAATTTGATAGGACTTTTCTATGTTTATCTCAATATTCGCTCAACTTTATCAACTTTATAATTTTTTTTAAATGATTGTGGAAAAAATGAGCATATTTAATATAGATGCTTTATTGAATAGAGAAACTTTTTCTTTTAAATTATATTACTATTTCGTACAATGTTATGAAAGAAAAGCATATATTAAGTGTGTACAATATTTAAATTTGTTGATTTATTATTTGCGTCACTAAATTAATCAATTTAGTTGACAACTGATAAACAAGAATGTCTTCAATAACGCTTATCACTGACAAAAAAAAAACCCTCTTTGAATGTTATACGTTAATTTTAAGTCTCGAGTTTCTTTATAACATTATTAATTTATAATTTCTCCTTTTGTTGTGTTCTATGCCAATAAGTTTTCCTTGAATTGATATTGAATTCAAAGAAAACTTCAAGAGTTATTTTTCACATC